AATATGAGCGAGCTGGCGACAGTGTGCACAAGTTGAAGGTGGAAATGGTTTTGTTGTGCAAGCTGGGCTGTATCAGGAAATAGGAAAGCTGAAAACCTCACAGCTTTTGTCGACAGCTCTGAAGACCCCCAAAGCCTGGCCAAGCAACCGGGAGGCGTTGGCTGCATCCGCAGGGACGATCAGAGTGTTGCTGCCTTCAGCCAGTCTGCCGAAGGCAGCGACATAATTCTCAGCGAGCTGCAGACTCAGTGCATGCATCCCGCCTGTAAGCAACAAATGCAGAACTTGTGTTTCCATGCTGTGTTCACATATTCGAAGGCAAATGAGGAAAATCATGAACAAGTAAAGACGGAACGAACGAAAGTGGGTCTGAGTTGCAGCAATTCCAAGAATATGAATTCCACTTGTCGCGACAGAAACCCTACTTGGCTATGCTAACAGAGAAAAAAAACAGAAAAAAAAAGACAGAAACACGCAAAAAAAACGCTAGCAAAGCACAGATGCATGCGTACCTGGGATACTGGTTGTTTCGGCGATCTTCCGAACGCTTTCTGCTGCCGCCGCTGCCCGCTGTCTAACGGCCTCAGCCTGCCCCTCAGCATTGAGAATTGTGGCTTCCTTCTGACCCAACGCGATGTTCACAAGCCTCGCTCTCTCCCCCTCACTGCGCAACACCTCGGCCCTTTTCAGTCGCTCCGCTTCGGCCTATTTCAATACACAAAGCAGCAGGAGCAGCAGCTGCTGCTGCAGCTGTTGCAGCTGTCGCAGCGCCGTTGCACGCAACAAAGGAGCCCAGGAACCAAACCGTGCGCTCGCCCACACGGCTAAGCAGAATTCTGAAAAATGCTGGGTTTACTGGGAAGCTAATTAAAATATAGAAAGATGCACTTCTAAACTTCAACACAAGACTTAACAACTACTGCTCTCGTACACCTGGGGCGATCGACCACGGGTGCACAGTGGCATCAACCACTTGGGCGGGGAGAAAGACATTGGATACAAAAACAAATGAAAAGCATGAGGCGCGCAGCCTGCCTGTTCTGCTGTCTGTAGCATTGAACAACTGGAAAGGAGCACATATACAGCTGAGTGAAAGAGCTGCAGATGTGAGCCCAAAGATACAGCCAGAGGCAACTAGACACCGATAAGAAGGGGAGATGAAATAGAACAAAGAACGTTAGCGAAGGAAGAAACTCAAAGAAATAAACAGAAGAGATTGAAAGCCGAAAGGATACAAACACAAATACTTGAATACCTGTCGCTCCATCGCACTCTTGATGTTGGGCGGCAGAAGAATGTCACGAATTTCATAACGGAGGCATGTCAGTCCCCAGGGCCCCGCTGCGGTGTTTATAGCCTAGAGAAACAAAACATAAAAAAAGAAAGCGGCTCCCTGTGCATCGCTTGCTTCTTTGTATGCATAAGATTCCGTTGTACAAAGCGGCTGTTAGCATGATTCAGGAGTACGTGTTCAACATTAAGATGTACCAAGAAATCAATACGCTTACATCCATACGCATAATACATACATATATATATATATGTAAGCAGATATATATATATATATATATATATATATATATATATATATATACTGGGTAGGCATACTGAACACAACACCGCATGTAGGGTATGAAGATGAAGCAGTGGAAAGGCAAAGCAGACGCCGCTGGAACTAAGCTCAACGCGTGAGTTTTATTTGAGTTTCTCACTTCAACGATTGTCTTGTTGAGGGTATTCCGCTCGAGAAAGGTATTATCAAGAGTCAGCTTTCCCAGTTCAGATCGCATGGTTGTTTGGGCCAGTTGGGTGACAGCGAAAATTGGGTTTTCAACTCCGTAGGAGGCCTAGAAAGACACAGTGGTGTGCAAGTGTAGGATGTTTGGTGTAAGGAATTTGCATATAACTGCTGCATAAAGCGTTAATAACTAATTCATATAATATATGCATTAGTTAATAACTAATGCATATAATTGCTGCATAAAACGTTAATAACTTTTCTCCTGTACTAGTAGATTGAAATGATACTTCTTATACAGCCACTCCCTGGGCATCTCCACGAAACTGAGATTCTATGTGAACAAGTGCCTATACAACAAACTAAGAAATACACTATTAAACCCTGTTTATCTTC